TAAGTAAACTTTGAGACAACTTCAATCATGGCGTAAATTTACTGAGTGGACATAAAGCATGACATGGACCACAGTCCCTCTATAGACTGTACATGGACCTCGGAATGCAAGCAATGCACAGTCCAGCACAATATATTACATGATGATTTATATTCTATATCCACACACTTTACACTAGTTCAAGATGACCTTTATCAATTATGACATACTGTAAAGTACCGGTACTTTATTTTCACTTGGATTTTATTTTGGCTATTTTCACTGAAGTTGGGACTTTTTTCCTATATTTTATATTCAACTCATCAAAAATCAGTGAATATAAACTTCATATCAACAAACAATCCTGACACTCCCTGCAAAAATCACCAAATTCATTCCAGAAACTTATGCAAAATTATAAAGAAATAATCTATTTGAACGAGAACCCTGAAGCATAACCCAAGTATTAAATTATCAAAGCTGTAGCTAAAAACCGACAAGACACTTTTTAGACTGAATATCAGCACTGCAGGAAACAGCAAACTATCAATAACAAAAAATGTAATGAAATTTATATCCACACAGACATGCCTGGTTTTCAGTAAAGAATTTCACAATATTCTGTTATATAAAGTTTGAGCCCAGGTTATGCAAGTATTACAAAAGTATTACATTAAGATAACATTAATAAGAAATAAATTCAAAAAGTTATCTTAAACGTGTTTTGACAGTCTTCCATGTTACCATGGTAACATTTGCCCACCACCCGTCTTTGGTTGATATGCGAATCGACACGAATTCATGAGATCACGAACTATAGGAAGTTCCCTGGGTTGTAAACTGATCTATTTAACCGTGTTAGTACACACACACAAGCAATAGTTCTAACCCGAACATCCTCGTCACGACGAATAATGGTCGAAACTGGTACTTCATCTCCATAGATACGACGTAAAGTTGGACATAGTTCACCAACTGTCGACATTTATCCTTTGCACTTTAGTGGCTTCAGTACTGGTATATAATGCAGTGAACGTGTTCATTTTGCTGACATGGCTGAACACGTGGTATAGAATACAGCCAATGAGGCGTCTCTTCCATCACCCCTCTCTATCATATACTTAACAGGCAATTTTATTTCACTGTTTCTAATAATAATTTATATTTGTATTTATGATAGTAGCGAATATGAACTGATGAATATTTGACTGTTTTATGTGTTGTCAGTAAATAAATTAATGCAATGTGTTAAATAATGTATGCATATATTATAATAACATCGAAGGGAGGGCCGCGCAATAGTTGCAACAGCCTATTCTCACCTTCCATCTTTTCATCAACCTTTGCATATTATTAGCCGCTGTCTCGGTTGGAAATTCGTCTGTTTTGGAGTATTTTTCTTGGATAGTTGCTGGCATTATTTTGTGACCTGTAAGGTAAGCTAACCATTCATGCAAAAAGGATTATATGTTTATTTTTAATCGGCCTTGTTCGCTGTGCAAAGACGTTGTTTCGGGGACCCGCCTAATTGAAAATTGGCAAATGCCGAAGTCCGTGCAAATGCTGTACATCAGCCGGCGAGGGTGTGTACTTTTCGGGTGCATGTTTCAGCTCTATTTGGCTAACTAATTCCCAGTGTATGCCCACTTATTATCCGAACGTCACTGCTAAGCAATGTATTTCCATGATCGACGCGAAATACTTCCACATTTGCCGATTTGAAGAGAATGTCGGCATTGTGCCACCCGCATCATTTTTGCAGCCAGTCGCCATTTTGGGTGTTCTGCAAATTTCATTTGAATGATGCCCATGTTGTTTATACAGAGATCGGTGAGATGTGAATGTCCGGAAGATATTCCGAAATTGAGTGATATATAGCATGTCGTTATTCCCAATCATAGATATATTTAGATTATTGGGAGCACATCCATGGAATAGCGACTCTCCCTTTTTCAGTCAAATGCATTTGTATGGTTTCCTCGGCACTTCGAACTAGACAAAAAAAAATAGGCGTGTTCGCTGCGGTAGGCATCCCACAGAGTACAAGCGAACTTTATCTTCAGATTTCCTGCCATTTTTTGAGTTTGTGAGTTATATTTATAATACTCTGCTTTTTTTTAATCAAAGGCCTGGCTTTTTAAAAACAATATCAGTTCAGTATGATGTAATTAGTCAGGGGAATGGTGTTTCTCATTAACGATGTTCGTTGTCTTTGGCACCTGCAATGGCTATTTTCACTGAGAAATATACATGTAGTAAGAATACATTGTTTTGCTGAATATTGTGTTGTACTACACCATTTGCGATATAATTATA